TATAACTGTGACAGAGTAGAACAAAATTATCCAAACCATACTTCCAAGCTACTATATGATACAAATGCAATTGAAAATGATCATTAGTAAACGGCAAGAACAGACAAAACCATCAACACTCCAGAGCTATAAAATAGCTGGTAAAGATAATGTTCTGCCTAATAATGCATATCCCAATATCCCAACATGAAAATGGCAAAAAAGCAAACAGGTGGTGCTTTCCTGTCGCTGAAATCCCCCAAACCATCCCCGCCCCCGTGCATGTCCAAAGAGCTTAAACCCCAACCACAGTAGCTCAGTCAGCGACAATCAAAAACGAATCCAGTGAGCACCAAATTTATTTATGAAATGTGACCAGCGGAGTCACCATCCGCATTACCATTATAATCCATGACATACCACAGTCAAGAGCATAACCAAAAACCTAATGCCCACTGCAAAACGTTAAAAGAATACACAAATGATTCACAAATGGCGAAACTTCAACGTCTAAATGCCATGGATAACAAATGAATCCACAAAAAAAATTGTGATCATAGAATAACTATGGCCCATGTGTTCAACAAGCCCGAAGACCAGAATCAAAACACACTGTCTCCGTAGAATACCACTAAATCCCCCACAACATCAAACAATACCACTAATAGTATTCTTAATAACATAAGAATGATGACGAAAAAAACAACCATTACAATAAAAACTATTAATAATAAACTTATAAATAATATTAATTAATAATAATACATAAACTATCATATATAGCAGAGTAACAACAGACATGCAGCGCCACCAGATACAATAACTCGTCATATAAAAGCACACTAAACAAAATAATTACACTCATGAATGCTAAATGAACAAATACCGAAAATGACAACAATGTAACACGCAATTATAACATCATGAAATCATACACCAGAGATAAAACCTTGTAACCCCCAACCCTCATAATAACTAAAATGCAATCACATCAAGCCAAATAAACATCAAACCAACCCCTCCCCCCAACAAAAATAACAAGTACTATAATCACATAGAAGCAACACCACTGACGTCTAAACCAATGAACAGACACGACAATCACAAGAGTGACCTGAAAAAACTAATCAGGGTAATTAAAGGAATTGTTTGACATTTGAGAAATAAGTAATTCACTTTGTTGCCAAGATTACGATTTGAGACAGAATCGACTGTTAAGCTCATATACTACTCCAATTAAGTAGTTAGGAGACGTCTAAATTAGCTTATACTCAAGTCGAGGGTTACAAGAAAAAACATCCACACATTTAACCAGTAACTATGAGTCTAGGTAGCGATCTTGCTTATCCTAAGAATCTGGAGAAGGTTCTTTCAAAACATATTTAACTATATAAAACGGTAGCAAAGTACGAGGCAATACAACATAGATGAACTGAAAAACAAATGCAAAATACGAAACAACTTCAACAGAAGGGTGGTTTCAAACCTTCTTTTTTATTAGTGATTGTGACCCACCTCAAGCATTTGAAAGGTTCTGGAGACCTGCCGGGTAACCAAACATACAATGAGCAAATCTTCAACACTAAAACAATAAAACACCTACAGTAGATGAAACTGGGAAAAAGACACAAGGACATATCCTCAACACCACAAAATTCAGAATCTACAGCCACACACTTTGAGAAATGCACATAATTACTTTAGCGTGCTAAGATGTTAACAATGGCAATGCTAACATGCTGTTTACGATGTTCTTCATCTTAGTATCTTCGTTTGTTGATGAGCACTAAACACAAAGTACTGATTTGTTGACCTGATGGCAGCACTATATAAGAAGTGCACCGTGAATGTACAAATTGGGATTTAATAGCAATCCATTCAATAGTTGTTGACATTTTTTGACGAATGTGACTGACAGATATTGCCATCCGTTAACAATTCTGCTAGCATGGCCAACAAAAAAATGCGACTGACTCACATTTTCACAACATGGACAGAAAGGTCTGACAGCAACATGGACATGTTCAATCTACTCTACTCCACTGATCCTGACACAAAAAATACCTGTCTCAGCTGTCTGTGACACACCGGCCCCTTGGTGTTGGGGGGACAGGAGCAGTGAAACCCAGCAGGGTCAGAGGTCAGGACGAAACATACGCCTCCATTTTGACAGGGGCTAGACAGACAAGGGTCTGAGAGAGGAACAGCAATCTGCAAACTAGCTACTTAACACCAGTTGAATCTGTGTTAGTATTAGGTTGCTGTGTTAAAATAGATTTTATTGTGTGTTGTTGTGTGTGTTTGTGTGACAAAGTTAAACAGAGAAAGCAAATGAGGGAGTGAATGGGGGAGACATAGAGAAGACAGAAAGACAGAAGCTGCCACTTTTACCTTTGATGTTAGCTTGGCATGTGACCTTTCCAGATGTGCATGTACACACAGTGTTGAGGTCAATCTGCCAGTGCTGGCCATCCTCCACTTCCCGCCCCTCCCACACACATCGCTGCCTCACACACTCACATCCCTCCAGGTGCTCCACACGTGAGTGCAGGTCTGCATTCTTTAGAAAAACAAAAATTGAAAAAATACCACCATGTAACGTCACTTTACATCACATTCTCATTTTATTGTGGAGAGTCATATATTCTAACTGCAATACGGACCTGAGTTTTGACCATGTCCAGCATAAGAGCCAGCTCCTCCAGCCTCTTCTCCAGCTTTTTCAGCCTGTCTTCTTTCTGCGACTGAGAAGCAGATTTCACTGCATGAGGAGATCCTGGGGGACCCAGCACCATACCTCTCTGCAGCTGGTCACTCTGGATGTCCTGAGGATAACGGTTGGTTTGGTCTGTGGGCCTGTGGCTTGTTTGAGGTTTACTGGGGGACGCGTCCTCCTGGAGCACTCGACCACTGTCAAGCTGAGAATCTAAGCTATGGATGTCTGTGTACTGAGATGGGGGCAAAGCATCTGGGAAAGAGAAAGCAGGAGTTAGTGGGAAAAGAGATTCCTGAATAATTTTTGAATGACAGAAAGAACAATTTTGGAGGCTAAACAAACATTCTGGTAAAAGGCTGTCAAAATTAAGACCCACGCTAAGGAATAATAAACCAACTGTTTGGGGGACTTTCTGCCTGGGGGTCCAGAGATATGATCTAACGCCCATAAACAGCGGTGGTCTAACTACTCAGTTTTAACTCATTGTGAGAATGAGCGTATCTCATTGTTTGGGATTCTAGACAGAGTTGGGAAGAAAAGTTGTCTTAGTAATTTTAAAGTTATGTAGCTGTTCATAACCAAAAATTTCTTCACTGACAAAAAATCATGTTTTCCAGTACAAGACAACTTAATATATGATAAATAATCAGGGTAAAAAATGAAGAAAGTAAAGGAAAAAAGTAGGCATTTTGACACTGCTTTGACATACAAATGTTTACCACTAAGCATGCTGTTACAAACTGATATATGGATGCACAAGTATAGTACGTGCACACAAGCATTCATACACATTTATAGTATCCAGAAAAAAAGCTTTGAAATGTTTACATTGAAAGGTGTGTTTGTTAGTCTCTGGATATTTTTGGCGATCTCTATACACATTTATCCTTGTTCTGTGCCCAAACTCAGAAAGTAATATAGATAAAGAATAAAGTGGTCTTTTTTTACCTGTAACATTATCACAGAGCCACGGTCGCCTTAGATATGCTTTCATTGACATCTCAGCCGTCTTCAGATATCCCTGCATTCATAAAGAAACACAGAAATGTTCACTTACTACATTTTAATTTATATATAGTATCCCCATTGGATGGAGGCAGGAAACTTCCTCTGAAAAGAGTGTTTGCATATGTTTATATAGCATGATATTTTTGTCAAATGTAGTTTGAATCACTGCTAATAAAGAAAAATCACAAAATACTGTAAATAAATAGTAAATAAATCAGTAAAGTTGTTCTTGTCGTCCTTTAGGTATGTACATGTATGCAGTATGTGCAGGAAACTCACAGTAAATTTGCTGTCCTTCTTTCCTGGTGTGCTGGCAAGAGTGACAACAACATCCTGAGGCAGTTCCAGGTTGATTCTCTTGTTGCTTTTTATCGGTAGAACCATAGCTTCTTGACAGTCTACAAAAAACGCCACTCTATCAGTCTGCAGACTCACAGCCAACTGTACCCACTCGTCCCTGGAGAAGGGGTTTCTCCTGGGGAAGTGAAAGCTGACAAGGCCCTGAGCTCCTTCTCCAGTCTGGTAGTCCACATGCAGAGTGTTATTAAGGGTGGAGGAGATGATTTGGAGAATGGGTGAGGATGCAGAGGACAGAGAAAAAAGAGTGGCACTGGAGCCAGATGCCTGATGACCCGCCAGATGCACCCCCATGCCACCCTGAAGGTTGGAGTGCAATAAGTGGGAATATTCAGGAGGAAGAGTCAGGTGTGGTGCTCTTAGACGTATCCTGTATGTCACACTGCCGGGACTCTGCAGTCTGGACACACCGCTTATGTGGTGGGACATGTTTAGAGCTGCCAGAAGGTCAATCACTAGAAAACAGATAAAACAGAGAGTCCGACTTGAGAGACACATCCATACGATCTACACTGCATGAGGTCTTGCCCTGTGATGACACTATGGTTTCTGGGTTGTTATGAGTGTGAGAGAGAATCAGAATGAAGCCATTCATCAGCCGGTCACACATGGCTGCCTCACTGACCTCATACACAGCAGCAACAGGCCAGCATAATACAATCAGTCTGATCTGTCTGCTGTCTGCCTCTCAATTAATGCAAGAGAACATCTGACACAGTTCTTTAAATCAGGAGATAGCTCTTTACTGCTAACACCTGAAACTTAAAGTTATAAGTTAGTTTTGGTTTATCGGATAAATGTATAGTGTCACCCAGTACCAAGTGAAGTACTTAAATACAATTAATGCTGAGTACATTTATTTGAGTATTTCTATACTTTCTACTTCTTCACTAGATTTCAGAGGAAAATATTGCAGTTTTTGTATCACATTTATCTGACAGCTGCAGTTACTTTGCAAATAAAGTAAAACAGTTTGCATAAAAACATGATCAGCTTATAAAGTGTGATGCATTGTTATAAACTCCCCAACAATATATTATATCAAATAGAATAATATCCTACTCAGTAATCAGAAATAATCATAATTCAATAGATATAATAATACTAATATAAAACACTCTGTTCTCTCAAGTACAGGATACTTTTGACACCTAAGAATGTCTTATGTTTAACTTTTTAAGTACTTTCACATTGTTGTATTGCTACTTGTACCAAATATCTTTTTCCCACAAATGAATCCTCAGTTTGATTAATGCTGCTCACAATTATAATCCACTTATAAAATCTAGAAGAAAAGGCAAAAATAAAACTGAACAATGTAAATGTGACTATGACCAAACTCACCATTCTCGTTATTTGGACTGGAATGCCCCTGCACAGAGAGCGCAAAGACCCAGAGCAAATGTATCTCCAGCAGCATGAGCGTCCTCAGTTTGCCGCTCTCCATTCTCCAGACGCAAAAAAAAAGAAAAGAAATGTAAAGCCTGGACTGAAATCCAAACACCTTACACAAAAAGCCTCGCATCCATCGTACCTTTTTTAAACCAGATCTGCTGACACCGACCTCGGACAGTAGGTTTGAGATCCCCCTGTTCTTATGCGAGCAGACCTTTCCAAAGAGCGCGCAAGGGAAACATGAAACATCTGGATGCAGGCAGGGCGTCACTTCTTTGCAGTCACACACACTTATATTCCCCCCTGGGGCCGTATCTACGACACACTTTCACTCCATGATCACAAAGGCGATGGTTGCGAAAAGTTGATGATTAGTATTATCTTCTGCTTCTGATGGGAAAGAGAGAGAGAGACAGAGAGAGAGAGAGAAGACACGCATGCAGAAAAGTTCAGGTGTGCAGTGCGTGTGAGGTCACCGGCTATTGTCTCTGTCTTGTTCAGTTCCCAGCCCCTGGAGAATAGCTGTGAGTAGAGTCTTTTCTTCCCCTGTTTTCCCTCATTTTGTCAGGGTAAAAAAAAAAAAGAATCTCTCCACCCAGCACTGCTCAGTGGTGTTGATTCCCAAAGACCCCCGTTTTGGTAATCAGCTAAAACCTGGTCTGGAAACTGGAGGGGAGCCATGTTGAAACAGACAAAAAAAAAAAAAATTGTGTGTGTGTGTGTGTGTACAGAGAAAGAGAGAGGGCGGGGTAAACACAAGTAGTCATGTTTCACTGCTTTGGAAACTGTCCCAGTGTGCATCCCACTGTGCCCAATCCCCCCACATCTGTCTCCTCAACTCTTTGGCTTTTGCCTCATGTCTTCTCTTTGTTGTTTATTTGTTCAGAGCCTTTTCTCTGAGTACACCCTCATGAGCAACAGCTCTAAGACTCCCACAGGAAAGGCAGACATGTGCCCCCTGTCTTGTTGAAGTATTTTTGGTGTGATGATAGGACACCCAGGTGTTTTTTTAATGGATGTAGCAGACTGGAGAGCCCCTTGTCACTCTGGTGCCAAATTGTTTTTCTGTAAAGTTGGAGATCATTTCTGCTGAAGAAGATCTAGGTTTAAACAAAAACAAGAAAACAAACATTCGAACACCTAATTTTAACTAAGATCCTCTCCGCATTTGTTCCACATACCAAACAAAACCTCATCCATGACTCATGCCGGTTTGTCTGTAATATTCACAATTAAAAAGTTTTCCCACAGGACTTGCTCTCTTCGCTACAGTGGTTTTTAAAAATACACTCAGTCCCTCTGGATGGCACAGCACTTCCAGGCCAAGAGGGCTGATTGAAGACTGTGATAAAGCAGTAGAAGCTAGAAGAATGCAGCTCATTTTTGCTGAAGGAGTTTTGAAGTAGTATCAAACTTTATGAAGGCGTGAATTTACTGAAAAAAATTCAGAAATGCCTCCCATAGGAACGTCCAGGGAATACAATGTTGCTCTCACACTCAGTAGCCCTTTTCTCTTGTGTGGAAGAAATAGATGAGCGTTACACCCAGCCTATGTGCAGGAGAAATTCAGCAACTTAGAACAAGAGTCTACAGCCATACAAGCAGCTCTGAGACCATATTGGTGCTTTAAGCTAATGTCAGCATGCTGACATGCTCATAATGCCAGGGCCAAAAATCATGTTAAGCAGGTATAATGTTTAACATGTTCCGCATCTTAGTGTAATCTGTTAGCATACTAATTAGCTAACAAATGTTAATCCATCAAATACATATTTCAGTCTGGACCAAAGTGCTGGACCCACCGACAGACCAGCATTGCTATTTTTAGACAGTGGTCTCATAACATTAATGCAACATTTGTTATTGCAGTGTTTAATTATTTAATGCATTCATTTGGTATTGATTTATTTGAGAGGTCATGACAACTTTGTGTTGTCCATGAAATGTTTACATATTCACGTACACAACTACACGCAATGGAAACAAAACTTACTGAAAAATGCTTGTGTTTCATTTCATATGCATTAAGTGGTTGATAAGTGCACATAGGAGTCTAAACAGTTCACTGCATGTGAGCAAAAACAGCATAGTTTGAGTTATTTTTAACCACATCTCTGCTGTCATCCAGTGGTCATATCCAGTCACAGCAGGATATACACAGACTTGATTCTGCTCATCTGTGTTAATCTATTGTTCGTCTATTATGACAACAAAGAAACATGAAAAACCAAAGTACACGGGTTGTCTCATGCTCTCAATTCATACAGCTAATGCTGCTTGAAATACCATCTTTAAACATTTAGATGATCTGAGAAATGCTTGCCCTCTGCACTCTCTCCCAGGGACACAGATGGTGCAGTGTTCAACCTTTCCCTGAGGCAAACTTCAGTCTCCAACCACTTCTGCTCCCCATGCTTTTTTCTCTGACAATGGAAACCACTCACAAGCCTGCACTAACCAAACATTTCTCTTTGGAGTCAGACGATCGCTTTCATCACAGGAGCCCTAAAGATATGTGCAGATACACTCCTTTAAGTGTGTCTTTGTTTGTGTGTGTGTGTGCCCATGCATGCTGGGACAAGTGTGAAAAAGGATGTGGGTTAATCTTCAGAAGGTGAACAGCCGATGTTTGATAGCTAATCCCTCGTCAGGCCCCATTAGTTAATTGCACAAATCCAACAGGCACAAGCTCTAGCCAAAGTACATGCTCAGACCTTTTTTTAGCAAGTTCTAACCTATAAAATACACCGAAATATACATGTACATTTAAAGTATGATTGCCAGGACCTAATGTACTAAAGAAAAGGACACTTCCTGTTGTGTTCTGTAATGCAGCAACTACAGCTTGAGCAAAAGGTATGGACACCCTGACTGTTAAAATTAGATTGCATGACAAACTGTTTATGAAGGTCAAGTGCCTTTGTACCAGACAAATCTCCTAAATTCACTTGTGACCTCGGTCTCTCACTTCACCGCCAGGTTCTTGCCATATCTAAGCTGATTGGCTCAATCTTTGTCCCTGACCAGGTAAGCCCCGCCCTCAAGCTTTAGCCTCTGAGCTGACATTTATCCTAGGATACACAACATAAGCTGCTGTCTGCTTTTTAATGTATGTAGGGGGGGATCAGCATGTGCGTTAGTATGTGTTTGACTGGTGGTATCTATTGTTGTCACTTCGATTACTCCTAAGAGTCTTTCTTAGTGGCGTTTAGCGGCTTTTTTCAGGGTTTTGGGAATCAGAGATGCTGCTTCCATCACAAGCCAGGGGGATATGGAGGCTGACAGACAAGCTGCAGAGGATTTGACAACAACAGGTCAGTCAGCTGAACAACAGTATAGACGGTCTGTGTTCATATCTAAGTGTGTAAAGGGAAAGCTTATGTGTGTTCATTTACCTCGCATTTGCAGCAGAGTTGTTGTTTCAGTAGGATGTCACCCCAGATCCTGCTAAGCCACAGACACAGGAAGAATGTAAGTCAGAGGATCTACACTAAGTGTTGTCAATAGTGACAGATTAACAGGTCTACAGTTAGAATAGCACCTTTCTGTGGAGATGGAAAGGGAAAGGAGCAAGAAAGAAGAGCCATCAGATAAGAGAAACATGAAGAGAAATATTGTAGCTACTGTTCTGCTGTCTGCTCTCTGAGACTGGGGAAAGCCAGGCAGAACCTCACTTAAAGGGGATTTAAAGGAATTATTGGACAGAGCAGAGTGTATGTGCTTGTGTTTGTACATTAACACAGGGTCTTAACCTAATGATGATTCTTAAGCTGTTGCATCAAGGAATGGAGTAAAACTAAGTCTAGCCCACTCATTCACACCGTACAAGGGGAAAGGATGACTGTGTTTGATTCATTGTGTTTAATATGTATCTCTCTTCACTCAGAAACAACTGGTTCCTGAGGCCTGACTGAGCCCAGGAATGGCCCTCATTGAACTTAAATGGAGTTTGTTCCAGGCCAAGGATCTAGTCTGTGCACTGCTTGTCCTCCTATGTCTGCACACAGCCACAGGTAAAGCCACTTCATATTTGTTTGTGTTAGAGTTTAAGTCTTGGTAGGAAATTAATTGGGTTTCTTACACTCTGTGTTTGTGTTTGCGTTGACACAGGAATGTCAGGATGGGGTGGATGTTTGGATGGTCAGGATGTATTTGCAACAATCAGAGAAAATAGCCCTTTTGGAGATGTCGTTGCTGAACTCATGGCAGAGACTACAGTGGAGGGGATTCACTGGAGCCTGGATGGAAAGGATGCTGATTGGTTCTTCTTGGATGAAAGAAACATCCGGCTGAACACATCAGCTGACAAGGTCCTCGACCGAGAGGTAAATGTGTCAGGATATGCCCTCGTAAACACTGATCTGAGCTTTGGAGCTTTCTTATAATCGGGGATCCCATTTTGTTGAGTCTGTAGGGATGTTTGTCATAGTGTGGAGCCATAATGAGTAAGTTGTATCTATGTTTAGAACAAACTATCAGAGATTGAACCTTACAGCCTTGATCTTGGACCGAACACAATCTCTTACTGTCATCCTCTTCCCAGCCAGCTGTCTTACATCATGCTAGCTGTTAAAAGGTCAACAAGCTTAACATTCTCTCTCTCACTCTCTTTCTTTGAATCCGAGTCCCTGTAAGTTTAAACGCTATCTTGTTATCATATGTAGAATTCCCGTTATTCAACACACGTTTGAGAGCATCAATTCAGTGTGCGGCCGCCTCCCTGTAGAAATGTTGCCGTCTTCCCAACACACACACACAAATATTGGGATGTGCATCTCTTCTGTAACCATAAAAATAAAATCTGAAGCACAAGGAATATATACATTGTGTTATCTGACCTATTGTTTCTATACGTGTTGATGTACATGTAATCTTGTTTGATAAACATCAAACTGCATGCTAGAATATAAGATTTTATTACACTTAAATGACATGAAGTAAGGCAATATAGGTAAAAAATAAAACATTACAAGCAAATGTGGCCTTGGTTTATATTTATGTGCTTTTCATATGAAATTGAGCATTAGAAATGTAAAGTTCTGTGTCAATATCTTGGCAGAAGCCTGTTTATTTGATATATATTTGATCATATTGATCATTTTTATCTGTTGTTGTTGTCTCTCCGTTCTATCGCTCAGGCTCAGGGTCCTGTCCTAATGGCTGAGTTGTCGTGTTATGAGGAGGACACACTTCAGGTACACTTTGTCCCGTCATCTTACCTATAACTCTTCAGTGTGTCAACCCACATTCAAGCTATGTGTCTTTTTTTTGCTGTTGCTATAGAGTGTGTACAGGATCATGGTGGAGATTCTCAATGACAATGACAATTCCCCTGTGTTTGCAGAAGACACTGTCCAGTCTCTTATACTCAGTGAGGTATGACTACATAATGAACATGTACACATACACAAACCATACAAGATTAAAGTTCTAATGTGTTTTTCTGCCTGTGTGTTTTCCAGCTGACTACAGTGAATACTGTGGTCTTTACTGTCCAGGCCACTGATGCAGATAACGACAAGATTATTTACTCCATTGACCAGACATCAGTGAGTTCTACTCTTTACTCTTCTTTACATTTAAAAGAAAAGAAGAAAAAACACAATCACTGCTTTGTTCTTACTGTGTGCGTGTGTGTGTGTGTGTGTTCTGCAGCCTGATGCAGAGTACTTCAAGGTTGATCTTCCCAACAGTGGAGAGGTGCTCCTGTCAAAGCCTCTAGACTATGAGACCAAAACCCTGCTTACTATTACCATCCATGCCTCAGTAAGCTATGTAATTTCATTCTTGACTGTTTTAGAACTCCGTTTCTAAGTAAATGTAGCCACAAATTATACTACAAATACTTTTATATCATCCAAATTTGATGCTCCTGATGATTACTGTTAAAGAAGATGAAGCGTACTACAGTTCATGCTTCCATCCATTTCTCCTTCAAACATGCTTGATCAATGTAATATCCTCCTCAGGAAATGAACACAGCTGAGCACTTCAATACCAGCACCAACATCACCATCACCGTCCTGGATGGAGATGACCAGTACCCACAGTTCCTGCCCTGCATGCTGCTTTTCCAGGACGAGACCAGCCGCATCTGCACCAGCCCTGTGTACACAGTCAATGTCACAGAGGGGGAAGAGGTTGGTCGCTAAACCCTCCCTCAATTACACTTATCTTATAACTGATAACTTATTAATGATACTACTTTGGATGCGAAACTAGAACCACTCTTTTATGAACATACCTGTGGTATCTTTATTTTTACTCTCATACACTGCATCTTCCCTGCTCTAGATGAGGTACTGTAAGGTTTTATCAAGCATATTTTCAATCTTATTTATTTTTATAGATCCAATTCAAACTATATAATTCAACTGCAAGATCCAGAACCGGGTTACTGTTTTAGGTGTTTCAAGATCTGAATTGTAGAGCAACAAAAGTGTGTCACGTTGCAGGACATTGTCTTGGACTTCTCTCCTGGTCCCATTCATGCAGTGGACGGAGACAGAGGTCTCAGCTCTCCGGTCAGCTATTCCATTCTCTCAGGTACCATCAACACAGATGCAAATGAATATTTAAAATGTGCCGTGCTTACATATATCCATCTTTAACTGCGTTTGTCTCCATACTAGGAGACGATGATGGGCGTTTTCTGATGGACAGTAAGACAGGGGAGGTGAAACTGATTCGGGGGTTTCGAGACAGACTCACAACTCCAACGCTGCACCTACAGGTCATGGTAAGACTCACATACTCAGTGTTGGTGGTAGGCTTGAAAGATATCAGCCTGACTGCTCTGCCTTTCTATCTCTCTGTGTCTTGCAACCAGGCATACCAGGACGATGACCCCAGAAAGTATTCTGTTGCTACAGTGTTGGTCCGAGTTCTGGCAGTGAACCAGTTTTATCCAGAGTTTGATATGGCTGAATATCAGGGCTTTGTAAATGCAGGAAGGAGCCCTGCCTCCCTGGTCAATACCTATGGCAGCAAAGCCCTGATGTTACATGTACAAGATCAAGACTTCAGCCACGTATGCACTCCACATACGACTTATACACCAACACAGCAAAAATGCTCAAAGTGGTTCTGTATTTGACTTATATTGTTACTCATGACCTCCTTCTTCTCCACGAATTGACAGGGTTTCAATCCCATGATCTACTTCACCTTCAGTCCGACATCAAATCACACAGGCATCTACCAAATCACACAGGAGGGCTTTCTGATCACCAGGACCAATGAACTCAAACCAAAGCAGAAACATGTTCTAGAGGTACGCCTCAGTGAAAACCTAGTGTTATCATTTGGTTTAATAAAAAAAAAAACATACCAGTGACTTTTCATATTTTAGGCCAGTAACTACAAATTTCTTTTAAATACTTTAAATAAAATAGATAGATTTCCTATGTTGCAAGAAAGCTGACTGAGATAGTGACAGATGGCAAGAGCATGCATGACAACATAACTATGAAGTATTGTGTATGTACACTATAATTACACAAACACAATAGGAAAACCAATTAACAAAGAATACGATTAAGTTATTATTAAGTTACTGTGCCCTTCCAACTGGAACTGGGGGGTTGGTAATAAATCAAAAATTGTGTGTTCTGTGTCTTTTAACTGGCTAAAATGTTCCAACCAGATACTATACTACACTTACAAAAGACAATAATGAATTGATTTTCAATGTTGCAACAACTAAAATTCATCAAAGTCTCAAATCAATAAAAGTTAAAATATTTTGCAGGTAATGGCTTTAGACCAGGAGTCGGGTGATGCCACCTTTGCTACTGTGGTAGTGGACGTGTTATCTGAAGGACAATCAAGTAAGGACACATACACGCTCACATTAATCACTGGTTGCTGATGAGCCTGCAGACTGAAAAAAACACTATCTGTCTCTGTACTCTACAGTTCCTTATAGTCCACTGGGAGATGACCGTATCATAGGTTGTACTGTGGGCAAAGCTTTGTTTCTGAGCATGGTGTTCTTGACTGTACTTGGAACTATCCTGTCTATGGTTATGTGGATGAAAAAGAAACACAAGGGAAAGAGGAACCCACTGGAGAGAGGCTGTGTGGCCCAGGGCAAACACCCCAATGTGGTGAGATCCTTAATCTCTATAACCTACATTCATATTTTGCCAAGATTTGTTGGTGAGTAAGATTGAGTTTCTAAAATATTCTTCACTGCATATTCCCTGCAGAGCTTACGGTGGTTCCAACTGGTGAGTTATTTATTTACTACTGAGCTTATATTCATCTTTCTAAGTAAATGTAACCATATCTTTCATTCATCTTGTAAGTCTGGAAAGTAAACAGACCTTTTTCACAGCAGCCACTTTGACATGAAATAGTAGGGTAAACAGATTCCCTTCCATTTAGTCTAGCAGAGCCTTTCCAGAGAGCCAACATGTACAATGGCAGCTGACTCTGTTTGACCTGAATGTAACAGAACCTTAATTAGTATCATTGGTAACAATGACAAAATGGCTGCTGTGAAAAAGGTCTATTACTCACATTAGCTGAATAATTCACACATCCCTGGCAATTCCTATATGTCACATAGTACATCACACAATACAATAGTGGTTTTCTTTTTCCAAATGTTAATGATGACTGTGGTTGCTTCTCAGTTGAGTCACCGTAACACCATGCCACACATGGAGGAAGTACCCTACAACAATGAAGAATACGGAACCTACAATCCTTCCTTCAGCTATGCAGAAAAACCTGGCATCTACACCCACCAAGACCTCCCGGCCTGCCGAGGACCCGTTCCACCCAGAACCACCGCTGCACTCGACACCAGCATCATCCCCACTGAAACTGTGCACAGTCCTGTGATCCTCAATAATAATGTTTCTACACCAACCAAGAGCTCCTCTAGTTCACCCACCTTTCACCCAGCCACTGTGGATGTGAGCCCCACACATGTGACTCAATATGCTGCTCCTCCCAAAGAAAACCCTGGTTCACCAACTGACACATCGCCACAGCCTCCTGAGGCACTACCCAACACCAGTCCTAGCCCTGCAACCCATGATGCCACTGACACCCCACCTTTCACCTATCCTGATTCACAACCTACAGAAACAACCACCAATGATGACCCTGTTGACCCTGTCACCAGCCCCTCCTCTCAATCCAGTATTCCATGGAGCCATACCCGAATTGCTTCAGCAGAAATAGACAAACCCTTCTGCAAACCTCGTGTGAAGACACCCCCATATTCACCTTTACTGTCCTCACCCCCTCCTAAGCAGATGGGCACACCCCCAACCACCCCAGACCATGCACCTTTAGAAGCTAAGCTGGTACATATAGATATGTCTCCCCTTGATAAACCTCTAGCAAAACCAGCGCAAACATCCATTAGTCTAAGCGCAGAGGTAGACCAACCCTCCACATCACCAGACCTAACAGATCAATCAGAACATCCAGGTGGGGCTGCAGGTGCTGGCAGTCCATCTCAGGACCGAAGACCTTCAACAAACTCAGGAAATACACAGGACTGCCGGGAGGTGGGGATTGTGAATGATGACGGTATTCTGGGAGATGAAGATGCAGACAAGAACAGTGAGGGTGAGGATGAGTTAGAGCCAGACGAAGAAGAGCTGCTGAGAGTGTTGGCTCGTTGTAATCCCATTTTTATCACATTTAGTAAGTGATGTCTCTACAATATCGCAGGCACTGAGAGTGACGGGATGGACGACAGAAAATGGAGGAGGTAAGGTGAAGATGGATGACACAGACAGCCGACTGGGGACACATCATCAAGCAAGAAAGAAAGACTGCAGTCTGGTTCTGCTTGTGCTGTAGGTACTGCTGAGACAAGTAAGAGGACGGTATGCATACACAAGATATACAGCACATGGGCCACATAAAAGAAGACATTATGTTCATACACTGTATACTATATATGTAAAACTAAACATTTAACAGCACACAGTTACAATAAATACTGTTGCTCCATTTATACCATATAGTTGACTAGATGGCAGGTAAGAGTGACCTTGAATGGACAATGTACAGTGAAAAAACACTTAGATTTATCAGTATAAATTATGACGATATCGATTTTTCAAGGACACGTCATTCATTGCAAAGTTAGTACAAGTAGAACATCATGAATCAATCAGCGATTGTTTACGAATATAATGAGATTGTGTGTGTTTTCTGAAGGTATACCCACATGAAACCACATAGTGTAGAAAGCAAAACACCTGGTTTGACATCACAAAAGTTTATAATGTTCGAGTGTTTAAACTCAGAGAAAAATGAAGCAGCGGTTTTGCACCCGGTGTGGTTTCGTGTAGATTTATACTTTATGTTAAAAAACTCTCACAGTGTACTGCAGCATTAATTGTTTTGTTATGCCTACTTTTCAAGCTGCCTCTGTTTTTTCTTTGAACATAAGTAAAGTTATTGTCTAACTGATTCAATGAGCCAAGACTTGTTATTAAAGCAAACTTATGGGCAAGGGCTCTGACTATATAGGCACTATATAGGCACATGCTTTGAGATGGCCATAAAGTTCAAAGTGAGAATGTCAGAGTTAAAGGTCTAGTGTGTAAGATTTAGGAGGTTTCATTGGCAGTAATGAAATATAATATTCACAGGTGTGTTTTCATTAGTGTATAATCAGCTGAAGAATCGTGTTTTCATTACCTTAGAATGAGCCATTTTCATCTGCATAGGGAGGGAGGTCCTCTTCATCCACCATGTTGAACCACCATGTTTCTACAGAATGGACAAACCAAACATTGACTCTATGTAGGGCCTTTTGAGGGTTTCTTGGAAGTTCAAGCAGTTGGTTGTAATCTGCAACTTCATTTCTAGCTATCAATGGGGGTTTGGTAAAGGTTTGTGGCAAATAAAGTTGGGATAATGATCTGGACAGGACCTCCTGCAGGACCCATGAGGACAGTCAACATGCGAGAACAAGAAGAGTCTACAGCAATGCATGCTAGCAGCTCAGTGAGCAGATCTGGTCGTAGGCACAGCATTGCCCCAGTTTGTGCCTCTCATTTGGTAGCATTAGCATTAGCATCCGTTTAATTTGAATTATTATTTTTTCCACGTTAACATATACGACGTAATGTTACAAAGTGGTTTAACCAGAATGACCAACTGTTCAGGAGAAAGGGCCCTCAAAGTTGACCCGTATTGGACCCCCACCCCACCTAAAGACACAGATAGGTTCTTCAAAAGTAAACATAAAAGTTATTTGATTATTGGAAAGCTTACAAACAAGGTTTCACATGGTCATTTGCCATGAGTAGCTGCATAAAAAATTCAACTCTGCTTCCACATCAAAGTCCTTCAAGGAGAGACCCGGGTTCTGGAAAGCTTTGCAGTTTTTGTACAGCGCTGCAAAACCATCTGACAAGTAGAACACCTTCCCTGGGAGTTTTCCTACCTTTCTTTGACATTCCTTTGAAAGAGATGGACTGCAGTGGTGTTGTGAGAGAGGCTAAAACTGCAGCACGAAGCATGCTGAGATTTTCCCTTTGAGCAATTAATTTAGATAAGTATTTAGAAATAAACCAAAGTATTGGATAAATGGAAGTTTTGGCCCGGAGAAAACGTAATTCAGTACTTTGACAACTATATACAGCATGTAAATGTTCTTGTCCAATTAGCAATCCGTCAGCTTGTTTCTGTAGGTCTGTTAAGACTATTAAACATCAACTTCACACCTCCTGCAGATTAACCCACTTTTTCTAACACCTTTGCACATGTACCTAGATGTACGTACATAGAGAAATTTGTCTGTCAAACCTTTGGGACTAAGATTCTTGATGAGCAGTATTAGTATTGTTGAGATGATCAAAAGTTTAAATTGGAAGATCAGTTTTGGTGGTGAATAAGGATGAGTTCGACCCCAAACTGATTCAAACGCTCCTAAATAGCCAGTTAGAAACGAACTGCTGAAAAACACAGTCATGTTAATCAAACCATAGTTGGGTAAATTTAAAAAAAAGTTATTTCTGACATATATGCTGAGATGTAAAGGGGTAAAATGTTTAGGATAAGCAACGACATACCTGTAAAATAGCCCACATATGTTTTCAGTTGGGATAAAACTGTTAAAATTGCCAACATTCGACTTATTATGGGGAGGTTAGGGGGCAAATGGTTCAGTTGAAAGAGACTGCCAGAGGAAAAGGCTCTGACACAACAATCTGCAGATCAGTGGGTCAACAGCCTGAAGGGAACCAGGAAACAGAGCATTTCCTAAAAAAGGAAGAAAGCTGGGAAAGCTGATAGTTGTAAGGAATTCTGCAACAGACATTTTCAACTACAGTTAATGCTAAATGATATCATTTTAAAAGTAGGTTTTTTTTTTTTTTCTTTTAAAAGGTGGCAACAGAGACACTTGTTTTGGTATGTTTTACTTGATTAACACTTGATAACAAGTACTTCAAGTCAAAAGAAGACAGTAGATTAAAAGCTCCAATTGTATTTGTTTTTATTGAGACTTTCTTCTCAATCACAAAAACTGGACCTGATTGTTAGCGTGCTCCTTTTGCAGACCAACAACTTATTTACAGTAAAGTCACTAGTGAAAGGGTGGTCGCTATAGTGAGCATGTAAAAAAAACATTATCATATACATTATAGTATACCATAAAAAGTATCAACAGTGGTTATAAATGGTGGTAGTGATAATAAGCATAACAAACATATTCAGGAGGGAAAAGTGTTTGTAGGGAATTTTTTTTTCTTTTTTTCAAACTACTTACAAAACAGGACAAATCTTTTAGCTTGGCACAAAAATGAGTTAGTTCAGCTGAATCAAACAAAACATAACGTCAAAAAAAGGGGAAGTCAACCATCAAGAACACAAGTAATATATGTACACACACAGATTCACACACACACACAATACTGAGGTGACAAGAAAGAAGAAAGGCCCCAGCTTTGAGGACAAAGCATCCATCAGTCTCTAAATTCATCTTGATTACTTCCACAGCTTGTGTTAACGTGGATGCTTTGGGGACCGGAATAGCAAACAGCGAGGTCCCACTGATGATACTATATTGCACTAGTCCAAATAGTCTTCATTGTCACTGGAATTTTATATTTACTCCTCGTTCCAAACGTCTCCGGAAATACCACATTATGATCAATAAAGACACAAAAAAACAAAGCACAAGTGGACCTGATTACAGGATTAGACAGAGGAGTAGAACAAATTCTATTGACTAGAAATCAGCCTTACTCTTCACAGTCCAGTGCATTGCAAAAAAAGAAATGGTACGATAAACTATTCCGTATACTGCAAGCCTAACTTTGTTCTATCAGGGTTTCGTAATAAAACATGGCTATTTTATAAAATCACCCTTTCAAATTGTCATCTAACACTGTTTGTACATCGCCTGACTTGGTAAAAAGGAAATGTGTAGTGTGTGGAAGCAGAGCAAAAGGCTGGCAATATATCCCAATCTTACCCACAACTGAGCATGAGGACACACTGGCCAAGCATGTACACATGAATGTTAGTGTGTGTACAATGGGACACATTCAAGAAATCAAATAAATTATTGTCCGTGGCGTAGGATTAGGCGAGTTCATCTTGTTTGAAATGCTCCATCCACTACCAGAGGAGAAAGGTGGTACAAAAGATGAACACATGAGTCTTTGGAGGCAGGTGGATGCTTAGAACTCGTCGTGTCGAGTCAGCGCCTCTCCGAAATCGGTCGCCTGGCTGCCCACGAACAGGTCGTACTTCTCCACGATTTCTGCCTTGGTCAGACGGCCATCCTGATGCAAAGAGAATAACAAACAAGATACGCCTTGTATTGTGGATTTGTCGACTGTTGTTGCGATATTGTTGATTCAGTGTGTCGTAAGAGCTGTCTCTCTAGTGCAGGCCCTGTTTGTATCTGCATATCTTTCACTGGTTTTATTGCTGATTGTATTTTAAAAGATCGTCGATGCGTAGAACTATTGCCTGCTCGGGAACTACAGATGGAAATTTGCCTTTCTGGCTTACTGCCATATCTTTAGAAATGTTATTTATATGCACTACCCCTGTCAAATAAAGTATTAAACTAAACTAAACTGTTAACAAGATTCAGAGGTACTTAATATTGTTACTATCTGTTACTGTGTGCATCTGGTATATCCTCATCACTGGGTGCAGACAATAAATAACATAGCTTTCTCAACTGAATTACACAATAAACATATCTCAAAGGGAAATAATACCGGCAAGCCTGAGATGAAGGCCTGTATCTCTTGCATTTATCATGCTTTGTTAGAGCTGTAATAGAATTAAGATCCTACTTAAACGGACAGACAAAACAAACGTAAAAAAAAAAAACTAGAGTGAGACCAACTCATTGTTGGCTAACGTCACTTTGTTTACATTAGATGCCTTAAACAGTAAGTGCTTTGTAGTGTAATAAACAAATCAACCACATATCACAACTTTTCTCAGTATGCCGTGGCCCTGCAGTATACTCTTTCACACAGACTTGTGTGTGTGCTGCACTTTCACACACCATTTCCTCTAAATATTTGGTGAATGAGACAGGAAATAAAATTGTTGAGAACCAAAGCATTTCTGTAGAAGTCTGAAATGTTTTACGGTTCGTACCTTGTCCGCATCTGACTCATAGACCAGATGCTTGGCCTCGGCGTCAGCGTGGTCGTAATCACTGGGCAGGATCCAGTCTCTGGTCTCCTCCTTGTCCATCTTCCCGTCTTTGTTTTTGTCTCTGAATTCAGTAAACTGTTCCCTCTCTGTCTTCACCCACTCAGGTTCTGAGGCGTCTCCCTCCTGGTTGTACATGTCACCTAGAGCACAGAAGCAGGAAGAATGAGAGAGAGAGAGAGAGTGTGTGGATGATGCTGCAGTACTGAGAGCCTTTCCGGTGGCTTAACACATTCAAGGTTCCTCAAACTGGTTCCTCAAACATTACTCATTAAAATATAACTGTACCTGCTGTGTCTTTCAATTTCAACCACCAATAATAACCCAAAATCATGTGGCACGAGCTGATGGCGCCTATGTGACAATGGGCTACAAGAACTCACCTATATACTCGTCTAAATCAATTAAGCCATCTCCGTTCTTGTCTATGTCTTCCATGGTTTCCTATAGGAAGGGAAAAAAAGAACATAAGGCAGTGAGAAGGGATGTGAGAGATGCAGCGGTAGTGTCATTATTTGACACCTGTGTGAGTGTGTGTGTTTGTCACTCACTAGCACTACAATGTCTTTCATGTGGTCGTACTCCTCGGGGTGAAGGAAGGCTGTGAACTCCTCCTTGTTGGCTTTCAGGTCATTGTCTTGGTCGGCCATTTTGAATCTCCTCTCGTCGCGAGCCATCATCTGCCTGTAGCTAAAGCCATCATCGGGGTCGGGGTCATCTGCAAGTCAGAGGTTGTAACTTTGTATTGTGCGTGCAAAGTAAATGTGATCATGTGACTAGGAAGTAACACTTTAGGGTGACATAAAATCTTTACAGTGACGATTGTCTGCAGCCGTACCAAGAATGTATCCGTATGTGGCGTTCTTGTACTCCTCCCAGGACACCGCTTCATCCCCATTGAGGTCGTGACTCTTCCACTGTCTGTCCACGTCGTCATAGATCCACCTCTTCTGAGCGTGCTTGATCCACTTCTTCATCTCCTCAACTGTCACAAAGCCATCCTTATCCTCGTCTATACGCTCAACCAGCATGCTGTGGACAAATGACAGAAATTTGGCAAACATTCAGCTTGTTTCGTCACGTTACTTAGCACTAGTGTGTCACCTCAGATGAACTTTACTCCACCCTGAGGTGAAACGAGGTCATTACCACAGTAAGGCAATAAAAACGTATTCCGCTACACCAACTGTATTACCACTATTCACGCACATCCCTCTGACGTGTAGTCTTACCCGAGCCGCTCCTTGCTCTCCTCTGGTGTGAGCTGGTCGAAGGTCTTGGCCTCATCTTGCCCCAGAAAAGCTTCATGGTCATAGTCAAAGCCCTCTGCGTCGTCGTGCTCTCGGTTGCTGAGTGGTTCATCGTGGTGAACGCGGTCCTTCTTCTCTGTGGGTTTGCTGGTGGCGTAAACCACACAGAGAGCGAAGCACATGACAAGTGGCCGCAGCTCCATCCTGCGTATGTGTGTACAAACAGTGACTGGACAAGGGGTAAAAAGAAGAGACACCAAACAGCTATGGTTATTGCTCAAACAGTACAGTCTTTTGCATTGCACGTGTATCTAAGTACAGTGCACTTTTCTGTCTGTACTAATCACAGCTAGGGCCACTCAACTCTGCACACGCCAGTGCATGACTCACAGTGCAAGCAAATACGCCGTCTATGAGAGGTGAATTGCTAGGCTAATCCGTTCCAGCTGATGCAATCCCTTATTTGTTCCTGTTCTGGTACTTTGTAGACGTTGACAGCCCGTACAACCAGTTCAAAAGATCTGCAAATATTAACATGCATATGCAAAAAATAGTAAAACTACTGAGTCTATCAGAATATATTCATATTATTCTACATACTACACTCAGTTGTCAGATTATTGGGTAAATGCAGTGAAATACAAGTCCTGCAATTAAATCCTCATAAAAGTAGAGCTTTAGAGAGGTGTTCATTACATTTTTTAGGTAATTTTGGAGACTAAATTGTCTTACATTTTACTGAGATGTGTTTCTAATATTTAGTCTACCCTACCTTTAATCCAGACCAATGTAAAACACTGCAAACTACAACTATTTTAAAGCATCATTCATGCATTAGTTAAATAGAAAACACAGTGTTTACATTTTATAAAGTCTTCTCCAATAGAGAAACCACCAACAACCTAAGTTTTCATTAAGAGATTCTCATGTTACTGTCATTAGAACAGCAAGAATACAATGTAGTATCCGGAGAGGGAAAAAATACTATTTTTCTTGGCTGCTTTAATGTGACAGTGTCTCACTGCTGCATGTCTCGACACCTTAAATCTTGTCCTCATCGTTGTATTATGAGTCAGTAGCAACAGTAGCAACAGTTATTGCCTTTACTTCCCAAATCCAAGGTTAGGGACTAACGTTAGTCTGGCTAACCTAGCGTACCGTTACTTGCTTGTCCTGCAATTTCACTCGCCCAAATGAGGGCAGATAAACAACCCTATAAATACCCATATGGTGTCTTTTTAAACACTAGCGACAGGAGAAACACACTTAAATTAGTTTTTCTATGTTAAACCTAAAATTTAACCAAGACAACTCACCGGTGTCTTCAGGGAAGTTCTTCGATGTAGTTTAAGACCCTCCCCTCGGAAACACACCCATACACTTCCTGTGCCAAAACGCCAACCGACCAATCAGGGCATGAGGAAGTGAGTGCGATGTCGCTCGCTCATTGGTCCACTTCGAGGGGACATCGATGATTGGATTGGCCGAGAACCGCCACGTCCTCAAAGTCAACAAAACTTAGTTCATTCATAAAACTTAAGCGTCTGGGACAGGAGAGCTGCAGCACATAATGAGCACCAAATGCCCGTACGGTTCGCTTATTATTCAAATGCAGTTGATTAATAACTTTACAGGTCTTAATTTATATGTTCTATGAATTTTGCTTGATCTTGCAACTTAACGCAAAACCCACAAACACCTTTAATGCAAGAAATACCATAATAACAGAACAACAGCAAAAGAAATCACACAGACCCACGTTAAAAAAATAAAGATGGTTTTATTGTTAATGTGAGTGAGCAACAAATGAAACGCTTTTATTTATTTTGGCTCGAACACTGTAAATCAATAGCCACAAATCAGAAACATAGCAACTGCATATTTTAAAGTCCAGTACTCTTCTCACTTCTTCGAATGTATAAATGACTCATTGTGTCCAATGGGCACATCTCTACTATAACCTTACAGCTGAAGCAGATTTCTCTCCCTCCCAGCTGGTATATAATATACATCGTGATCAGTGGAAGCAAAAATTGATGATATCTGAAAAGCACAATAACAGGAATTCCTGCTACTAAGCCGAGGGCGCCCACCATTGTAACTGCCATTCCCAAGACCCTCCTATGTGTATCTGAAAGGAATACTTGATAGTTTGTAAAAGCCTGTTTTCACTTTAGGCTATCCATATTTATGTTGTATATCAAATATTACAAATTCACTTATTCTGAGACTCTGTGACGAAGAGTCATCATATGTTTCTGGGGAAGTAGCAACACTTACAGTAGTACTGACACTTCTCCTTATTACTGCTGAACTGCATGAATTCAACTGTCGACTCCCTCACAGCCTCACAAATGTTAGTGACTCGATACTTGTAGAAAGTTTTCAATCCACTGCTGACTCTTCCAAATCTGCATTGTCCATGTCTTCATCCGTCTCTTCCTGTTGGGTGGCACTTTCTTCTTGGTTAGACCGGCAGGTTGTGTCCTTCTGTTGTTCACCACTATCACCACTTCCTGCAGGGACGTCACAAAAAGGCTTTTACAAGGTTTTAACCATGTTGTGCAAACAATATATATATATAAAAAGGGTCAAGCTAGTCTGAACAAGCCACTGTGTATTAAAGTTGGTGCCACACACCAGACGTTATATCAACTGTGTTAGAAGAAAGACAACAGATTTTTGCATCATATGAGTGAGTGAGCTGTTCTGGCTGACCTGTGCCAGTTTCACCCTCTTTCTTCTCAGTGAGGAAGATTCGTTGCATCATCAGTTTCTTCACAGTGTGGCACATGTACTTGAGCTCTGGACCACTGTCTGCTTTTCCTGCAGACATATGTCAACATGGACAATAAGCAAAAGAAATAACTGAAACACAACAGTAAACATTGAGTATAGTATATTTATGGAGAACTTTACCTTTACGTGTTCCCTCCTCGAACAGCACACACGTTCCCAAAGCATCTTTGAGGAGGGATGGATAGCAGGTAAAATTTCTGTTTAACATTTGTTTGTTATAAGGCTCTTTTGTGCTGGTAAAAGTAGTCAGCACTACTATGACTAATAATGCTTATTCAAAATCCTACACGCACATTACTAGTATTAGACCTGTACAGTATATTCATAGCCCTATCTATAGCCTATTTATATAATATACTGCTGTATGTATATTTTTTTGTCCTGTGCAATTATTTATTTTTACACCTCCTGCTGTAACCTGTACAATATTCCGTATCAATCACATCTGTATAAAAAGCTGTATATAGTGTACATACAACTCTTATTCTATTTTCATTACATATCCTGTATTTTTCTGTTCACTTTCTTTTTAATGTGTATTTTCTTATCTGTTGTGTTGTGTCTGGAGCTGCTGTAGCGAGTGAATTTCCCCAGTGTGGGATCAATAAAGTCTATCTTATCTTAAAAATGTGCCCCTATTTCCATGCCTTCTATTGCAAAACAAGATATCAGTAATGCCGTTGTAACTATGATCATCAGAGCTTTGAAGGGGCAGTTTGAGCTATTCATCATCACTGAAACCACAAAAGTCAATCAGTGGCAGTGTTTAGAAAACGACTCTTGTGTGTTGTTTTAAGAAGAGGGAAAGGAGGAGAGTTATTTTAACAGCAGGCACGAGTTGCTTAAGCTAGTAGTCGGTATGCTTAGATAAGTTAATATAAGACTTCCACACTGGGGAAATTTGCTTTTTACAGCAGCTCAAGATACAACACAACACAACAGAAACAACAAATACACATTAAGTAAAAAATAAAATAGGAAAATACAAGATATAATAAAAATAAGAGTTATATT